CCTGCTTGTTATGGTTTACAGTTCAAAGTATTCCTGAACTGAGCATCCTCTTGTCTGTCACACTCTTGTAAATGTGAAGGTTTTGGCTTGTTGGTTTCTCTTCCTGTTCCTTGCTCCTGGCTAAGGAATGTGCTGGGTTGTCAAGTCATGCGTGTTTGTTGTTTTCCCACTTATTCCTTCCTTTCTGTCATAAGGACCCAAAGAACAACATTAGCATCATTTGATTAGACAAATTACATCCTGAAGAAATGGATCTTGGTAGCCCATAAATTTCATTACAGTTCTTAGCAATTGGCAAGGGAAAAAAAAAAAAAAATTCAATAAGCTTTGGCCTTAAAACATCCTTGGTTCAAAAGACATGAAGCTCTGAAACTTATTATCTTGTTGGCAATTGTGTTTTGTACATTAAAAGATAGTTTTACATCTTTATGATTTTATAGTAGGAGTTCTTCCTTACATGCTATCCTTGAACAGTGATCTACTGTGTGATTCTCTCAGTCAAAGGCCTTTGGTTGTTCCCTTCACCAGTAACAGAATTCCATTAAATAAATTCCACAGGTGTTTTATATAACTGCCCCATTTATTATCTTCATCCTCATTTAAACACAATTATTAAAAGTAACTAAGCCTCACTTACTGGAGATTAAACTACATTAAATGCTGGTAATTTAGGTGATCAGGTGATGAACCCTTTGTAAATGTGAACTGTAAGCTGTTCTGTTCTCTCTTCTCTGGCTGGCTGTTATTAGTGAAGGACAGTTGTAATCCAGTTATCGGGGTTTTTTACTGTATCTGCTTTCTCCAGCTTGGGAGCAGTTCTGCATTTCTTGCAGTATTGGGATCTCCACGTAGAGCCTCTGGGGCTTGGCAGCAGAGATAGTGTTTGCTGGTACGACCTTGACTCAGACTCCCTGAAGATCGTTTCCCAGCAGTGAACAGCCTGATTCAAAGGATCAACCTGCGGAAACGACGAGACTCCCTCATCCTGGGGGCTGTTATTGGCATCTGTACCATCTTACTGCTGCTCTATGCCTTCCATTGATGGATGCTCCCCCCATGGACTCTGCTAAACTCATCACCACCATCCCTCCACCCCCCAGTCAAGGAAAAGCGAGTGGGGGAAGCGACAGACTTCAGACAGCCTGCTCCTCATGGCTGGGAGTGTCAGCATGATGTCTAGAGCTTTTGATGGTAGACTGCGACACTGGGTTTGGGTTTGAAGCTGCAGTGTTTCTCCTTCCCTGCCATAAATCTTCCTTTGGTTAAATTTTATGGCATTTGTTTGTCTTTAAATCCCTTTCTCACCGCAAGGTAAGTAAAGACGGGACGCTTACCAGAACCAGCACAACAGTCTTTGTGCTCAGCAGTGCTGGGGAGGTCTGGAGTTGGCTGGTAAGTGGCAAAGGGTTGTTATGCTTGCCTTGGGTGGAAACTGCAGGAAGCCAAGTTCCCCTTCAGGCCAAGCACAGTGCTGAACACTTGTGCCCTGTGAGAAGAATATTGCAGCTTTAAGCCGTCAGGTTGCTTTACTACTAAATACATGTTCTGTCATTCTTTTTAACTCATGGTTGAGATACTAGTTATTTCTGCATAATTTGTGCTGTGAAAACTGTGCTTCACCTGAATTCCTCAAAGTTAAAGAAAAAAAAAAGGCTTGTTCAGTTCACTTTTTGCACAGAAGTGTGGATGAACTATGCTCTGAGGAAGATCTGTAAGGTTTCTTGTGGCTTTAAAGGGACTCCCAAGTCCCCCTTTGTAAAAAGGGAGCACAGTGTCCTAGCAGCTGTTTACGATAGTGTTCAGTCATCTGAAAAGTGACCAAACATGAGCTCACCTAAAAGTACGCTTTGGGTGTAAATACTTGGATTTTGGCTGGCATCATAAAGGTCTTTATAACGACATGATAAGCAGTTTGAAAAGTCTATATTGTAATTTAGATAAAGTTATTCTAATAGCGTTAATATTTTTACACTGTAAGTAGGATATAATCTCAGCTGTCCAGTGGAGATGAACATCATGACGGTTATACCTGAGGCAGACGTATCTGGGGTGCAAACTCTTTGGACATAACTCCTCATAGTAAAGAGCTGAATGTATGAGTAATGAAACAAGTATTATTTACCATTTTGGGGGGGGTGGGACAAGAACTTTCCTGTCCAGTCACGCAACGTGAATCGTGTCGTGCTTGGTTCTCCAAACAAAGCTGAGGTCAGGAGTGGCTTTGATATTGCAGAGCCACAAACTACAGGTTGTTCTGCTCTTTAGCAGCTCTTTTCCACCTGTCATATCCTAATCCAACAAATTCCAAGTGAGGCACTGAAATATCTTTCTAAGAACTTGATTAACTCTTTTCACAATCAATTTACAGTGCCCTTAACAGATTTCCTGTATGCTGTTACCCACAAATGTCAGATCTGGCTCCAGGTTCTCTTCTGGAACAAAGCCTAGTGGGACTATCACAGTTTTTTATGGCTTTTTGTAGTGTCTGTGAAGTACTTGTCTGAGGGAGCAGAGACTCGTGCCTGTGGTAGTGTGCAAAACCACACTGTTGGACCTAAAATGTTGGTATGGATTTGAAGGCTTATCTGCAGACTAACAACTTGGTGCTAAAAAGTCAACAAAGGCTTTTTTAATCAGTCATCTTGTCATTGGGATCAGAAAGCGTTTGGAATTAAGATGTGTAAGACTGTGGGGCTTGTATTTTAAATAAAGGGTGATTCTTTGGTTGATTTGGGAACGTTCCTGGTTTGAAATGAAGCGTTCATTAAAAAGGTTTATGAAAAACCTTGATGGGTAAAGGTTTATTAATGAATCTGTGTGTTGGGAGATCAAACCTCTTATCCCTGATGCTTTCTCTTTGATTCCACCACCACCCTGAGGGACCCTGATCAGCAGCTGTGCTTCTGTTTAGGATTTGTAGGATTTGGTTGCTGTATAGTTGGCAATATGAGATCTGCAGTACCATAGATGAATTCACTTATTTAATCTTATAACCAGTCTTTTTACTGGACTTAATTGATTATTTGGTGCATATATTTAATCTTATTGTGTGAAAAAGCTGCTATGGAAAATATGTAGATTATAATAAATATGTAAACAGAATTGATTTTTCATGTTATGAAAATGTTATGGGGAGCTGATATATTTTAGTATAAAACAACTAAAAGTTCCTGAATTATCTCTGATAAAGCTTTACTGGAAATGGTTTCAGTGTTGGCAACCCCTCTGTGGTTTTATTTGTGTTGGTTTTGAGACAGTGTTGGAAAAATACATTTAATTAACCTTGTAGTCTCCTCTTCATCACCCTCTTGCAGTCTGCTGGCTGTGTGAGCAGGGGTTTTGCTGATCCTGCCGTGGGGTGCTTGCCCATAGCCAAAGGGAAACCTTGCTAGTTCTCCCAAACTCCTCTACCATGTGGACCTGTAGTTAGGGCAATGGACAGTAAAACCAGACCTGTGGATTGTAGTATTCGGTCTCCAATCCCAAAACACAGGTTTGTGTGTCTTGTTGCCAGATACATTCTCCAAGTTTTTTTCATTCTATGTGGTTCCTCTTACTCAAAGGAAAAAAATGTGGTGCAAGAATTCTCATTTCAGCAATTCCTGGCAAAGCTGCAGTTTCGTAACTCAACCAAATAGGATTGTGCTAAGAAAACGACTGCTGAGCCATTGAAATGAAATGAGAAAATCTGTAATATTTTTATAAGGCACATTTCCACCTCCTCTTTTAAAATTTCTGCCTTTTCTTGCCACTCTACAAGCACCTACTTTAAACCTATCCAACCACCCCTTCGCCAGGCACTAGAATGTGAGGGATCCTGCTGATAACTTTTGATGCCACGCTTCATATGGGTGCAAATGTTTTTATCCTTGCCCTTTAGGCTGTTTTTTCCTCTGTTTATCTGACCTTCAGGCACTGGTGTCTAGAGCAGCGTTCGAGCAGCACCCAGCTCTGTGTGTTCAGTGAGTGGGTGCCAGTAGCCCAGGTGGCCTGTGACCCTTCACAGGGGGATGCCACCAGGCATGGCTCTGGGACCAAGCAGTGTGTGCTTTGGTCACCTGAGAGCTTGCCCTTCCTGGGAAGGCACAACGTTTTGTTCTTAACTGATATTGATTTCAGGAGCTTCTGTGTATTGACGTGTGGTATAAAACCCTGCTGGATTCATTACACTGATTAATCTGCTAGAATTTCTCATTTGTAGTTCTAGAAGTCTTTTCTTTGGATGGTCCTAAGATTACTGTGAGAAGAGTCAGTTCCTCACTGGATGTTCAAAACAAAAGAGCAAAAATAGCTTTTTAGGTGACAGTTTCCAATAAACTGTCTCCTGCTTGTCCTCCAGGGCCACGTCCTCTGAGGAGCTGTGTTCTTGAGGCTCCCCCAAAACTGCTGCACAGGGAGCCAAGGCTGGTCCACTGCTTCTGGTGGTGGGACTCAGTCAGGACTGTTTTAACTCTAAATGTAGCAGCTTGTTTCCCAAGATCACTTGATAACATAACCTTTCCTATTTTTACTTTTTTTTCCCCAAAGCTTTAATTCAAAACAGGGTGGAGAGGTAACAGCTGTATCACTTCTGGGGGAGAAAATAATTCCCAAACTCCTTTTAACAGTGTTGGATTATGAAACCCTTCAGAGCTGTGGCCCTGTTGAGCCACGTGCAGTGCAGGGGACTACAAGGAGTGACATACTGAGACAAAACTGAGCCATATTCTAGGTGACATCTGCAAGTCCTCTTGGTGCCCTGTATCTCTCCTGTCATCTGGGTGTTTGAAGCCACTGGTGATGCTTTTGGTTCTGAATACATAAGCAGCTGTTGGTCTGTGTGGTCACTACTACTGAGGAAAGCAGTTTAAAAAAATCACTCAAGACAAAAAACAACCCCCTTTCTCACAAAATATTCCAGTCCAGGTCCTTGTGAGTGAGTTTCTGATTGCACTTTCTGATTTTTTGCTTTTCATACAGCTTCTTGAAACTTATTTTATTGTAACTGTAATTATTTTTGTTCTCACCTATTGTGCATTCTCTGTATGTATTAAAAAAAGCTTTGATATGTAATTTAATAATAAATTAGAATTCTAAGCAAGGTGCTTGGTTCTTTCCCTGCGACAGTCGTTGCCTACCTAAACTCCAGGGAAGGTTTCAGCTCTTCAGTTTGAGATTGGCACTGAATGTATGAATTAGTGTGTTCCCCATTTTTGTACCAAGTACCAGATGTGATGGAGCACTTGCTGACCCAAAATGCCCAGTTTGGTGGGATGTGCTCCTCCTGCCTGCCTGTGGAGACCTGGACTGCTGCCGTTCTGTGTCAAGCACCTGCACTGGAAGGTGGATACAGCCACGACTCTTTTCTTGCTGTCCTTTGACAGATGGAACAAGGATGATTTTCTTTAGAGGTAAGCTTTAAAAAGTTTTCTATGTATCCATAGTATAAAACATTGAATTCTCAAATGCATCCCAAAACTGATGCATCCACTGCTGTGGATTTGAAGAACCTCCTCAGCATAAGGCGCTTCCCCACTTTTTTTAATACCATTGTCAGTAGTTTGGAGGCTTTTTTGTTTTCCCTCCTCTCTGATCACGATACAAACACCAAAAAAAAAGCTGATATTATTACCATGATAATGAGCAATAGTGAAAATCCCCGTGAAGGTCTGCTGTACCCTGGTGTTTTCTAGCACTGCTGCCATCCGGCGCCACCTCCATCAGGTGCTCAAGCCAGGCAGCAGTGTGCCCGAATAACCCATCCATGTCTGGTGGTTTTGCAATTGGTGTAAATCTTTCCGTGCCACTCAAATGCATTTTCTCAAACAAGAAAATGCCTGGCAGCACGATAGCAAGAGGCTCTGAGGGAGGAGAGGTCATTCCCTTCATTTCAGAGCTGTCGTGCTGTGCCTGTAATGCTGTGTTAAGGTAGAGAGAGATTTCTGCCTCCTTAATGTGCTTACTAAATATTCAGGAATGACCATATCGTTTCCCAGGGGAAGAGATTGACTCATGTTTCAAGTTGGAGAAGGAACTTAAAAAAAACCAAACCAGTCTGGAAAATGGACAGGCAATTCTGGCTGCAGGTAGTGGGAAGTGCAGTTAGTTTTTCCAGTTTGCGGCGCTAGTAATAAGTGGTGCATAAAATTCCATCTTCGTTTGGATTAGAAAATAAATTATTAATGGAGCTGAATCCTTTTTTCCAACTCCCTGTACAGTCAATAATTTATAGTGGCACAGGCCTAAGATACATATTTTTAACCATCCGCCTCCCACAATACTGTTGTTCCTATGGCAAGCCGCTGCCCTTCCCGGCCAGCTCCGGCTCGGGGGTGTTCCTGCATTATGGATGAGCCCAGCTCTGCTCCCTCAGGCCCGGAGCCACTCCAGGAGCAGATCT